GGACAAAAGTCAGTCAGTGGGGTGGGAGTGAACAGAAAGCTAAATGGGGACAAAGCGCCCTGTAAGTGAGACTGGGACTGTGAGCCTGGGGTGGGGGGAGGCTGTGGCTTGGGAGTGAGGGGCAGGGGCAAGGCACAGGCTGCCCCTCCCACAATCATATACCCCATTCCTCCTTCCCCCCCACCAGAGGTGTCCCCTTTTTTTAAACTGGAAATATGGTAACCCTAGTAGCATCAGGCTTAACTGAATTAGGTTAAATTGGTTTATTGAACTTCTGTCCCAGATCCCCTTCAGAATCAAAAGTGAATGCCTAGTTTATTTGCTTATCGGTTCAATCTATGTAGCTTAAACTAACCCGCAAAGATTGAATCGATTTAGCCTCAGGCCTTGTGTAGGGCTTATTCTCATTTTTTTTAAATAGCTGTTTACAATCTGAAGAGTTTTCCCCATCAGAAAATTCTTATTCTAAGGCAGCGATTCTCAACTATGGTTTCATGATGATTCAAAAGATAAATCCAGAGATTTAAAATAGGAATCCATAGCATCAAAAAATACTTTTTATGGTCTTTCTAGCTTATTTGTAACAGAAGAATTGATCTATTATCTTTCTGTAGTCAAAAAGTCAAAGCTAAGAGCTGGCCTTTTCCGGGGGTATCTTGACTTTAATGAGGTTGAGAAACACTGTTCTAAAGGCTTGTCTACACTTACCTACTTCTGCTGGCAGACAGCAGCTGCCACTGTCCAGCCACCAGAACACATACACATCTATGAGACAAGGATGCTTGTGGGCAATATCTTTTACTGGACTAACTGTATAGTTGGGAGGGATATAGACAATCATCCAGGTATGAAGTATCCAGCCTCAGCTCTAAGGCAGATCAAAATGTGATTTAATGACTCGAGTCCACACCTTAATTACTGACAAAAAGATGGGATGCTCCTACTGGAAAATATTCTTTACTATCTTTATCATTCACCAAGACAAATACACTACAGAATCAGCAAGTCAAGAACCTGTTCTTTTTGTATGCCATGTTAATGAAACTGCAATCATAACAGCATAATACTATGAAAGAACACTGAGAAATACAAAATTAATGACAATTTCCACTGAGTAGCTAGCCAAAATAGCTATAGCTGTAGGAGTTTGGAGCCACATTTCTCTAGAAAAGAGAACAATACCATACACATTTATTGATAACCATACAGCTTTCTGGGAAGTTTGTCTCCTCTGAAAACTGAAATAGTAAGTATTAAATCCCAGCAGAGAAAGGCACATATATTTTATAAGCAAGCCAGCTATAAAACATAACATTCTCAACTGCTTTCTTTCTTCATATAAAGCAGGGTCACCAATTCAGAAGGCTTGGGTGAGATTCCAAATGAAGTAACCCTGGTGTAAACGTTGAGGTAACTCTTCTAACTTCCCTGCAATACTCAGCTTTCAGTTTCACAGCTGTAAAGCCACACTTCAGCCCCTCATCTTCTTTGCACCTTGGATTCATTGTTAAAGCATAATGCTTTTTTGAGAAATAACAATCGCTTAAGATCTCAGAGGGCTACTTCAATGGAAAGACACACAACACTATTTGAGAAGCACACTATACCCCCCAAAATACCATATCTAGGGCTTCTTTTGGTGTTTCTACATTGCTTGCCAGAGCCTATTCTAGAGTGCATGTAAGTGTTCATATTAAACTGCATTTGATATGGCATATCCAAAGTTATGAAGCAACTTCTCAAAACCTGGATGTTGTGTGAAGGGAAGATACAAAACATATGGTGTGGCTTGGTCTCAGATTATTTCAGACGCACTGGAAACACTGAGGGTGAAGTTACATGTTACCCTCAGAACATAATCTGTAGAATGTTAAGCAGCGTTAATAGTTAGAATGGGCCGTGAAACATGTTAAGGCTTAATACTGTTTTTTGCCTGCACAGCTCTGACTTGCCACTGAGGGCTGATGAGCAAGGGCAGAGCTATACATCAGGACACCTGGGCTCTACACCTCCTTGTGGGGGAGGAGGCTGGGAGCACTACATCCTGGGATGCTGGAAGACTGCAAATTGTTCATATTATCTCTGTGGAGCACACTGAAGTTACCCTATTACAAATCAGGTAAGCATGGCCCAGGGTTAACCCTTCCCTGAGGTGGCATAATTGAGATGCTCAAAAGGCACTTAGCACAAATTAATGAACTTTAACAGACTATACTAAAACAGGAGTGTGGGCGTGTGTGTAATGTATAACTTCAACAGGGAGTTTGGCTCTCAAGTCATTTGGGCCATAGTTGTGAAGTGTGTGCTCAAACACTGCCCAATTTGTTTACATGTTTTTTTTGCACTACGTCAGTCTCATCTTAAGCATTACTGATCAAGAGCCTTGACAACAGGAGGTTTTAACTCCATGAAAGTTGCTGTTTTTTCAAGCACAGTTGAATTTATACTTACGTTAAGGATATTGTTGAAAGCTATAAAGGCCTAACTTTGATATTTTGGGGGTATCTTCTGACGTATGCCCCATTTCTTCTTTTACCTTCTCCCAAAAAACCACCATATGGGGAGGAAAAACAAGCCCATTTAACCAAATTTAGTTTGAAAAATATATATTAAAATAATTATATTTATAGATAGTCTGTATTTAGTAAAATAAACTTTTCCATTTCAGGGTATATTCTTGCCCAAAAGAAACAATTCCTGGTTTCTGAGCTGATTACTAAGTACTTCACCAACCTATTTTTAGTGTTTACTTCAAAACATGTAATTAATTTCCTTTTCTCGGTCTGAAAACTCAGACAGCAATACTGTTTGATTGCACAGGAAAACCATATTCACAATTTGCAACAGTCATGTATTTACACAAAATATTTGGGGAAGGATTTGAAAGAGTTATAAATTGATACTATACCTTCACATACTCCATAGCTGGATCCAGCATATTCTGATCTCTACAAAGCAAAAATATAGCAGTGAGTCCAATATTTTCTTATTTAAGAGCAATATGTTTAATTAGTGAAAAAACCTACATAAAAATCAATATGTTATCACTTTAATGTCTTGTGCTCAGTTTAGCAAGATGTCTTTAAGTGTTGCTTCCCTCCTGAAAGTCAGCACTGTAGCCTCTATTAATTCATCTGAGAACTCATTACACAGTTTTGAACAAAGAGGACAACATTTCAACAGATGACTAAAAATAGCTATATTTCTGTCCTTTGTAACCCTAAATGTTTTCTGAAATTGAATATTATGCAAGGGAAGGGCATTCTCTACTTTAAAAAGCAAGATGGCTTTCTGCATTAAAAAAAATTAAAAGCAAATCTTTTATTTGAGAATGCTTTAAATTCTTTTGAAGAAATTTCCCCCAAACTTCATCTAACACATAAAAATCTCCATTATTTAAATGAATGTGTGATCATCAAAATAATTTAAAAGCAATTAAAAAGGCAGATTTCCAAGTGCTTCTGAATTCAAATGAAGAAATAGAAACTTTTTCTAAACAATTATCAATGCCTTTTCTAGACATTGACAATGCAAAAAGATAGAAACTGATAATAAACATCTTTCAAATTTTATATTTATAAAGCTTTGCTCTGGGAATTGGGGGTAGAATGGGAATTAATTGGGGGAAAAAAACCCTACCGTATTTGACTGCAAGTTCAGAGTTCTCTTTTCTAGTCTTCCTGTCCCTTCTTCCACACCCCCAAAAAGGGCCATTAAAATCAACTTGACAGCATGTAGTGAGTTATTTTAGGATTTAGTGGGTTAATATTTTGGATCCCAATACTCCTGTAGGATTTTGCAAGGGCAATAGCAACTCAAGGCCTTTACTGATAACTAGTAAATTGCCCATCAAGAATTGGGGAGCTGGGATGGAGGGGGGGGGGAAGCTTGATAACCCTAACCCTAGGCCCCCACCGCCTCCCAGGAGGGGGTGGGGGGGAAGCTTGGCCCCATCATCTTCTCTGTCCCCCTCTGTCAGCCACCTGCAGAGAGGAAGGTGCTGCTCCCACCTGCAGGGAGGAGGGCTGGGGTGGGGGGGAGGAGTGGGCGCAAGGCCAGCGATGCTGGTCTCGCCTGTCCTCTGTCCCCATAGCGGCGCTCTGCTGTGCTGCCACCACCGCCTCCTGTCCGTAACGCTCTTGGAGCACTTGAGTTACTGAAACAACCAATCAGAGTGCTCCAAGAGTGTGACTAATTACTGACTTTTTTTTATATATATATATATATATATATTTTTTTTTTTTTTTAAACTGTTTATCCTAAACCTGAACCTGAAATTGTGGGATTGACTTATCTGCAGCATCATATATATTGCAATGATATAGTGATGCAACTCTTGTATGCTCTGTATACAAACAAAACTAATTACATAATATTCACTTCTGTGTCTACTTGCCTTGGAAACAGAGTGTCAAATCATTGGGACTATAGATTTAAAAAAAAATGCATCTTCTTTGGTTATTGATCATGTTTACAGATGGAAAATACTACTAGGAGGTCCAATCATCATAATTACAACTCTGTGCAGAATACAATTAAAGAACAAGAACAAGTATTTGCAACATTTTTGGAGGAAGATTCGACTGGAGTGCCAAACCTGAAGGGTGTCTTTAGATTCCTCTGTAGGAAAAAAGGGCATATACGGTACTTAAAGGTTTTAAAAGCAAAAAGAACTCAAAACAGATTAATCCAAACTCAGGAATACCTGCGAGAGAATACTGATTTGACATTATAGCCAGGACGGGGTCAACTTTCTAGAAGGTTACTGATCATGACCACGCCCAGTACAGTGGGAGGTTGTTATGACAATATAACCTGATATGTAACTTCAAAATGTGCAGGCGTTGAGCGTCTCTGGACTCTTCCTGGAATTCTCTGCCTCCAGCTTTTTTGTGCTGTCTAAATCTAACTTTAAACTCAATAAACTAAGCTATTGTTTGGTATCTACATTACTTCTCTAGTCTCTCAACTTTTAAATCCAAAACACAACAATGGGGAAAACAGAATACCCCCAGAGATGCTTCTACTATGGGAAAGCAGACCTACCAGGCTTGCATCAGTATTTGTTGTTGTACGTAATCCACTCATTAAAATTCCACACAGTGCAAGGTTAATGAAAATTTTACTGCCAACTTCAGTGAGAATAGGATTTGGCACAGTACATTAAACTGCTTTTTAAAACAACTTGATGAAAAAGATAAATTTGCATCTCCCTCCCAACCCCACCAATTTCTGGCAATCTGGCTTTCTGAAACAGTTAGACTCTAAGGCCTCATCCACACAAGCACAGGCGTTTGTTTCCCCAGGAACAAGTAGCAGTGACACACCTTGTGCTGCTGCTGCTCGTCCCTAGGAAACACCTGTGCCATGCACCCTCTGGTGTGCAGCAGGTTACCCTGGGTGTGGTAGGGGAGGCTGGCCGCAGCAGCCCAGCAACTGTGCTGGCTCTAGCAGCCTTACCTGAGGTCCTGGGGCCTCGGGGAGCTGCAGCCACATTGCTCCTGCAGCTGGGAGCTTGGCTGGCAGCTGGAGTGACTCCGGCCAGCCAGGCTCCAGTTTTGGGCAGCAAGCCCAGCTGCCACATGCGCCACCCTGGTGGAGTTTTTTTTGGTGTCATTTTTTTTGACACTGGGTTCTCCACGCAGCATAGAGAGAGATAGCTGCACGGGCAACACCTGCAAGATAGCAGCATGGGGAATGCCAGCTTGTGCAGTGTGTAGTACCACAGACAGGTCTACAGTGCCACATACTGCATGTCCATGTTTGTCTGGATGCCACCCTAACCTACCTCCTGTGCCTGACTTCAGACTTACACAGCTAATCACCTTGGCCTCTTACATATGTTAAAAAACAAAACAAAGCAACAAACAAAAAGAAGCAGTGCATTAGTTCAACCTGGCTCCACAGCATCTGTATAGATTAGGTGCTTCAGCAGGGCTTTTTGGTGCTTTTACCTAAAGCTGACTGAATCAGTTTTAAATAAAAGCCCCACTAAAGTGCCCGATTTATACAGACTTTGGGCAAGCTGGGTCCATCTAGCACGATGCTGCTTTTGGGCATGTGCTGGGTTTGGTGCAGGAGCACTCTGAGTTTAAAGTGCCTTTTTCTTTTCTTTTTTAAAACATCTGTAAGCAGCTCATGTTGTTAGAAATGGGGGATCATTCTATTGTGAACAGACTACAGAGCTTTCTGGCTTGAGAGGGCACGAGCTCCTTGAAGTTTAAAACAAACAAACAAACACCAAAACCAAACCTTTATCTGTTACAGAGCAGCAAAAGTACTACCCATATAGTACTTTGAAAGTCTGTGCATCATCCATCAGCTGAACAAAGTCATTGGCAAGTCCTGATTTTACATTAGTAAAATACAATGAAAGAGTGGAAAGTGCTGTTAGCTCCACTTTACAAGTGGAGGAAATGATGCAAAGAAGTTAAGCAAATTGCCAAAGTTGTGCAGCAAACGGATGGCAGAGACATTGAGGCTAGGGACAAACATTATACATAAACTGGTTTAAGTGATCAGAAACTGGTTTAAATCTGTAACAGAACAGATGTTCAGTATATATAAGCTAGTCTGAGAATGGCTGAAACTGGTCTGAAATAAACTTATCTGAATGTAGTATCAAACTTATCTGGTTGACTCAAACCAGTTTATACAATGTCTGTCCCAGACCCCTTACTGGTTTAAGATAAACCAGACACCCCCAGCATCCCAGCATGCTCTCTGGGCTGGGTGGGACAGGGTGGGGTGGGGCTCTCTGCTCCACAGCAGGGCTGGTCCCTTCCCTCTGCTCTCTGGCCACAGCTCCAGAGCCTGTGGGCTGCTTCCCTCACCACTCCCTGCTAAGCAGGAATTCCCCACCCCCCGCCTTGCAGAGAGGTGTCTGTGCATTAGCTAGCAGACCACATGCTGGCTATGGTCTGTGCTGAATCAACAGGCAAAATCAACAAGTAACTGGTAATTTCCCTCTGTTGTGTTCTTTATTGGGTGATAAACACTGTTATCAGTTCCCTGCTGGGCTAATCAGGGCTCCTGCCAAAGCCTGGTTATGACCCCCTCAGCTCCATAAAGTGAGTGACCCTGAAGGAAGGAAGGGAGGGCTGCTCTAGCGACCCCCCAGTTTCTAGCCTGAGCCCCTGCAGGCATGTGCTTGCATTTCTGCGATGTCTGTCCAGTTACAAAACTAATTTAGCCTAGCCAGGTTAAACTAACCTGCAAAGATTGAATCAATTCAGGCTCAGGCTTTTTGAATGTCTGTCCCTAGCTTCAGTGCACATAAAAGTTTCAAACTGGCTGAAACCGGTTTGAGATAAACCTGGTCGAATGTAGTATGAGACTTAACTGATTTGGCTCAAACTGGTTTATACAATGTCTGTCCCAGACTGTTTGCTGGTTTAAGTTTAACCAGAGACCCCCAGCATCCTGGCATGCTCTCTGGGCTGGGCTCTCTGCTCCAGCCCAGCCAGGCTGGCCCCTCCCCTCTGCTCTGCAGCCAGAGCAGGGACAGACAAGGGGCAGGGTCTGGCCAGGGAGCAGTTTAATTTCCCCCTCTCCATCCCACCACCAGGAGCCTGAGCCAGGTCTGCCAGGCACTCCCCCCTCACTGCTGCAGCACCATGGCCTCTGAGGCAGAGGGTGATAGGGAAAAGAGTTACTCTACTCCCACTAGCAGCTGGGTCTGCCCGCCCTCACTGCTGCACTCCCTGCCCATGGCCCAGGAGCCCTGCCTGGCCGTGCCCCTCCCCACCACTGCAGTGGGAGGGGGCAGGGCCCTTGTTGGGGGCAGCAGCCCCTGTCAATGTCGGGGAGCACAAGCCCCTTCCCAGCATAGATGCTGCACTGCAGGGCAGGCAGAGCTGTGGTGGGCTGTTCACAGCAGCACCAGGGTCCAGAGCAGGCCAGAGCCCTCCCAGCCCCCCACAGTGCTGCCACACTCTGCAGCAGCTCT